AGTGATGTTTTCCTGCATCCCAAGGATGTTTTCCTGCATCCCAGGGATGTTTTCCCGGGAATGGCCATCCCACCCTCCCTACGGTTCATCCCTCCCTCTCCCAGGAGATTTTTGGGGCCGTTCCCGTCCCTCGGCCGCTGTTTTTTTCCACGGGGAAACTGAGGCAGGCGGGAGCGGCGCCACCTCTGCCTGGCACCGCTGCCTTTTCCTGGCTATTCATTAATCCCTCGGTGTCCCCTCGGTGTCCCCCTGCTGGGAGATGCGGGACAAAAGGACATTTAACTCTTTGCGCGCCGGACCTGCGGGGGGGGTGCCTTTGTCCCCTGGTGACACTTGGGGATTTTGGGGTCCCCAAAAAGCCGCAGCCGGGATCGGGAGCGTTATCTCAGCCCGGGAGTGGGACCGATGCCACAAATCCTGGCTTATCTCGGGGGAGTTAATGTTCAACCAGGCGGCTCCCGCTGCCAGGGCCTCTCCCAAGCTGCTGATATGGGGGAAAAAGCAACATTTTCCCCCAAAATTACACTTTTATCCCAGATTTCCATCCCCAGGGAAGGGCTCTCCCAGCCTGGGTTTGCTGCAGGTGGGAGAGAAAAGGCCCAAAATGGAGGAGAGCAGGGTTGGGATTGTGTCACCCCAAAAAGGAGCTTTGGGGTGTGCAGGGCTTGGGGAGGGCTGGAATTCCATGGGATTCGCTGCTTCCTTTGGGATTCCAGTCCTGGAGCTGCGCTGGGGTGGGAGGGGGTGTTCCCAAAGGTCGGGGCTTTCCAGGGAGTGTGTGAGGGGGGAAACTGAGGCACGGAGAGGAAGGGCTGGACTCGGGGCCGCATCCGGGCTGCCGGGGCCGGAGCAGGGGGGGCTCCGAGGGGCGATCCGAGGGAGGCTGGGGAGGGTCCGAGCTGATCCCAGGGATTGATCCCGAGGGAGGCTGGGGAGGGTCCGAGCTGATTCCAGGGATTGATCCGGAGGGAAGCTGGGGCTGATCCGAGCTGATTCCAGGGATTGATCCCGAGGGAAGCTGGGGATGATCCAAGGTGATTCCAGGGATTGATCCCAAGGGAAGCTGGGGATGATCCGAGGTGATCCCAGGGATGGATTCTAAAGGATGCAGGATGGTGATCCGGGATGAACCCAGGGACCAATCCCGAGGGATGCTGGGCTGTGATCTGGGATCTGCAGGGGCTGATCCCGAGGGATGCTGGGCACAAATCCCTCAGGGTGCAGGGACACGGATCCCTCGGGATGCTGGATTACAAATCCCTCGGGATGCAGGGACACAGATCCCTCGGGATGCAGGGACACAGATCCCTCGGGATGCAGGGACACAGATCCCTTGGGATGTTTGATTACAGATCCCTTGGGATGTTGGATTCAGATCCCTCAGGATTCTGGGATTCAGCTCCCCCGGGGTGCGGCTGTTCCGTGCCCAGGCTGGGCTGATCCCGGCTCTGATCCCTCGGGAGCCGATCCCGGGGTGGGGGAGGGATGCGGATGCCGGGGAGGCTCCGGGGGGGCCGATCCCGGCTGGATCCCGGCCGGTTCCCGGTGTTCCCGGCCGGTTCCCGGTGTTCCCGGCCGGATCACGGCTGGATCCCGGTCGGATCCCGGGATTCCCGGCTGATTCCCGGCTGGCTCCCGGTCGGATCCCGGGATTCCCGGTTCATTCCCGGCTGGCTCGCGGTTGGATCCCGGTGTTCCCGGTCGGATCCCGGTCGGATCCCGGGATTCCCGGCTGATTCCCGGCTGGCTCCCGGTCGGATCCCGGGATTCCCGGTTCATTCCCGGCTGGCTCGCGGTTGGATCCCGGTGTTCCCGGTCGGATCCCGGTCGGATCCCGGGATTCCCGGCTGATTCCCGGCTGGCTCCCGGTCGGATCCCGGTCGGTTCCGGGATTCCCGGCCGGATCCCGGGGTCCCCGCGCGAACAAAGGCCCCGCGGGCAGCACGAGGCCGGGGGGCGGCGCGACCCGCCCCCGGGAGGGCGGGACCGAGAGGGACCGGGCAGGGAACCGGGAGAGCCCCGGGAGGCACCGGGAGGCACCGGGAGCGCTCCCCGGATTATGTCCCGGATCGAGTCGCTGTCGCGGGCAAGGAGCGACCGAGCCAAGGTGGGTCCCGGCCAGCGCAGCCCCCCCCGAGCGGGGTCCCCCCTTTCCCAGCCCGTCTTGGGGTCTTGGGGGGGGATTTGGGGTTAAACCGGGGCGGGGGGGGGCACCGGGGGGGCCCCTCGGGGCTTTGTCTGCCCGCCCCGCTCGGGCCAGGCCGTTTTTTGGGGAGGGGGCGATGCCTTGTGCCCCCCCCCCCGAGCCTCAGTTTACCTCAGTTTACCCCAAATCGTGTTTTTTTGGGGGGGCTCCGGAGCCGTCCCGGCAGCTCTGAGTCGATCGAGGGGACAGCGGGTCCGGGCGGTTTTGGGGGGGTCTGGGGTGGTTTTGTGCCAGGGGGAAGTGGCTGTTGATCCCTGCGCCGCCCTGAGGAGAGGAAATGTGAAATTTTTTTTGGTTTTTTGGTTTAAAAAAAGTTTCGTCCGAGCCGTTTTCGCCCCACCCAGAGCGGGGGGGGGGGTCGCGGTGACCCCCCCGCGGAGGGAGCGACCCCCAAAAGCAGCGGGAGGCGACATTTGGGGACCCTTTTGGCGGCTTTTGGGGGACCCCCCCTGCCTTTGAGGGGAGGGGGCTCCTTGCAGCGACCCCCCCAAAACACCTCGGGGGGGGGTCCCAGATCTGCGCCGCGAAATCCGGGGGGGCTTCAAAGCTCCGAGGGGGAAAATTTGGGGGTTCGGGGGGTGGGTTTTGTTTTTTTTTTTGGGGGGGGGGATCTGCTGGGAGCCCCCCCGTGATTCCCACCCCGGCCCAGCGGGGTCTTTGTTGCCTCGGCCGGGGCTTTGTTCGCCGCCGGGGCGGCAGGAGGGGGGGGCTGCCCCCCCAAAAATGTTGGGGCTGCCCCCAAAAAAGGGGGAACTGTCCCAAAAAAGGGGGAAATTCCCCCAAAAGCTCCGCCAAAACTCGCTGGGTTTTTTTTTGGGGGGGGGTCTTTTTAGGGTGGGGCGACCCCCAGCACCCCCAAAAAAACTCCCCCCGAGCCCCGCGCGGAGTTTTGGGGCGGAACAGGAACCCAAAAAAACCCAAAAAAAAACCCAAAAAACCCCGGATTTATTTAAAGTACCGAAACTTCCTCCGCCCGGAGCGCCCGGGGGGGTTCGGAAGTTGGGGGGGGGGACCCCAAAATTCCCCGCTCGGAGCAGCCGCAGCTCGGTCTCTTTGGGGGTTCGGGGGGGTTTTTTTGGTCTTCACTGCTCAGGGGGGGTTTGGGGGTCGCGTGCGGGTTTTGTTCGGGGGGTCCGGGGGGGTCTCGGGGGTCCCGGGGAGTCCCGGGAGGGGCGGGCAGGAAGCGGCGGCGGCTCCCGCCTTTGTCTGGCGCGGTTCGGTTTCCTTCGCCTCGGGGGGGGGCCCAAAAAAGGGGAGGAAAAGGCGGAAATGGGTGCGGGGAAAAGTCACGGGGAAAAGGAGAAAAATGATTAAAAAAAATAAAAAATAGAGGGGGAAAAAGTGGGGGGGGAAAAAAGGGGAATTAAGTGGAAAAAAGGGGAATTAACAGGGGGGAAAATAAAAAGGGAGAAGAAGGAAAAATCGGTTAAAAAGGAAAATAAAGTAAAAAGGGGAGATAAGGGTAAAAAGGAAAAGAAGTTAAAAAGGGGGAAGGTGGAAAAAAAAGGAAAGAAAAGCGGGGTGGAAAGATAAAAAAGGAAAGAAAAGCAGAAAGATAAAGGAAAGAAAGTGAAGGGAAGGAGAGAGGAAAAAATAGGGGGGGAAAGGGCGAAAAGAATAAAGGGAAATCAAAGCAAAAAAAAGCAAAAATCGAAATAAAAAGAAAGGCAGGAAAATAAAAGAGAGAGAAAAAAAAAAGAAATTAACAAAAAACGGAGGGGAAAGAAAAGAAAAACAAACAAAAACCGGCGGAGCGAAGGGGGAAAAAAAAAAATCAAAGGAAAACAAACAAGCGGGCGGGAACAATCGGGGCGGATGTCGCGGAGATGTCGCGGAGATGTCGCGGCCGGAGGCGCCGGGGGGGTCCGGGGGGGTCCGGGATGTGCTGCTGCTCCTGCGCCCCGTTCCCCACCGAGGGGGAGGCCGAGGGACCCCCGAGGGTGGAGAGGGTGAGACCCCCGCGGTTGGGGACACGGGGGGACACTGGGGTCTTGTCCCGGGGGTCCCACTGGGGTCACAGTGCTGCTCTGAGGGGTCCCAAAGGTGCCCAGGGGGTCCCTAAGTGCCCATGGGGGTCCCAGAGGTGCCCAAGGGGTCCCAAAAGTGTCCATGGGGGTCCCTAAAGTGTCCATGGGGGTCCCTAAAGTGTCCATGGGGGTCGCAGAGGGGGCCAAGGGGTCCCAGAGGTGGCCAAGGGGTCCCGAAAGTGTCCATGGGGGTCCCTAAAGTGCCCAAGGGGTCCCAAAGGTGCCCAAGGGGGTCCCTAAAGTGCCCAAGGGGTCCCAAAGGTGCCCAAGGGGGTCCCTAAAGTGCCCATGGGGTCCCAAAGGTGCCCAAGGGATCCCAAAGGTGCCCAAGGGATCCCAAAGGTGCCCAAGGGGGTCCCAGAGGTGCCCGTGGGGGTCCCAGAGGTGCCCAAGGGGGTCTCACTCCCATCCCGTGGGGTCCCCCCCGTTCTTCCTCCCCCCCGGGGGTCCCTCAGCCTCACCCCCACCCTCGTCCCCATTGGGGCTGGCACCGCTTTGGGGTGGGGGGGGGGGATGGAAGGATGGATCTCTCCCCCCACCCCCCGCATCCCTCCGGTTGCCGTGGAAACGGGATGCAGGGAAGCGGCGGCGAGCGCGGTGCTCTCTCCCCTCGCTCCCGCTTCCCCGGCGACCCCCCGGCGGAGCGGCAGCCCCCTCCTCATCCTGGGGCCATGAGCCGCGTGCCGAGACCACCGGGGGCGGCGGCGGGGGGGCGGCCCCGGTGCCGCAGCCCCCCCGTCAGGCGCCCGGTGCCGCTGTCCGGGCAGGGCAAGGACAAGGAGAGGATGAAGGAGGCCAAGGAGAAGGACGCGCGGTACACCAACGGGCACCTCTTCACCACCATCTCCGTGTCGGGCATGACCATGTGCTTCGCCTGCAACAAGAGCATCACGGCCAAGGAAGCGCTGGTGTGCCCCAGTGAGTGCCCGGGGGGAGGGGAGTGCCAGCTGGAAATGGGGGGGGTGGGGGGGGGATGTGGCAGGGCGGGGGTGACGCGGTGGCGTGGCTGGGGTGGCATTGCCAGGGTGGCATTGCCGGGGTGGCATGGCTGGGGTGGCATTGCTGGGGTGGCTTTGCCAGGGGCAGAACTGCCAGGGTGGCATTGCCAGGATGACATTTCCAGGGTGGCATGGCTGGGGTGGCATTGCCGGGGTAGATTTGATGGGGTGGCATTGCCAGGGTGGCATGGCTGGGGTGGCATTGCCAGGGTGGCATTGCCAGGGTGGCTTTGCCAGGGCGGCATTGCCAGGGTGGCATTGCCAGGGCGGCATTGCCAGGATGACATTCCCAGGGTGGCTTTGCCAGGGTGGATTTGATGGGGTGGCTTTGCCAGGGTGGCATTGCCAGGTTGCTTTTTCCAGGGCCAGAGTTGCCAGGGTGGCATTGCTGGGGTGGCTTTGCCAGGTTGGTTTTTCCAGGGGCAGAATTGCCAGGGTGGCTTTGCCGCAGTGGCTTTGCCAGGGCAGCATTGCCAGGGTGGCATTGCCAGGGTGGCTTTGCTGCAGTGGCATTACCAGGGTGGCATTGCCAGGGTGGCTTTGCTGCAGTGGCTTTGCCAGGGCAGCATTGCCAGGGTGGCATTGCCGGGGTGGCATTGCCAGGGTGGCATTGCTGCAGTGGCATTGCCAGGGTGGCATTGCCGGGGTGGCTTTGCCAGGGTAGCTTTTCCAGAGCGGAGTTGCCAGGGTAGCTTTGCCGCAGTGCATTTTTTGGGATGCCTCTCCTGGGGTGTCTTTTCCATCGTGGTTTTGCCAGGCTGGCAGGGCTGGGGTCGACAGGATGGCATGGCTTTGCCAGGCTGGCTTTGCCAGGATGACATTTCCAGGCTGGCTTTGCTGCAGTGCCTTTGCCAGGGTGGATTTCCTGGAAAGGAATTGCCAGTGAGAATTTTCTGGGGTGGCTTTCTCATGGCGGCTTTGCCAGGATGGCATTTCTTGGTGCCTTGGCCAGGGTGGCATTGCCGCAGTGACTTTTGCAGCCTGGACTTGCCGGGGTGGCTTTTTCTGGGGTGGCTTTGCCATGGCGCCTTTGCCGGGGTGGCTTTGCCGCAGTGGCTTTTTCTGAGGAGGCTTTTTTTGGGATGACTTTTTTTGGGGTGGCTCTGCTGGGGCGGGATTGCTGGGGTGGCTTTGCCACGTCGGATTTGCCGCAGCGGCTTTGCCGGGGCGGCTTTTTTGGGACGGCTTTTTTGGGGCGGCCTTGCCGGGACGACTCTGCCAGCGGTGGCTTTTCCAAGACGACTTTTTTGGGGTGGCTTTGCCGCGTGGGCACCGTTCCCAGAGCCCAATTCCTGCCGGGTTTGTTGCCCGGAGCAGGAGATGGTTTCTCCATTTCTCCACCCCGGCACATCCCGGCTCCCTGGCGCTGGTGGCCCCGGGCTGGCGCGGTGCCCTCGGCCTCGGGGCAGCTGCTCGGTGGCAGCTGCGGCTGCGGGCGATCCGCGCCCACCCGCGTTCCCACCGCATCTGCTGCCGTCGCTCTGCCAGGAGCCGGGGGAGGAGGGGGTGACAGGAGGGTCCCCTCGGCCCCTCGGTCACCTCTCCGTGTCCCCCAGCCTGCAACGTCACCATCCACAACCGCTGCAAGGACACGCTGCCCAACTGCACCAAGGTGAAGCAGAAGGTGAGCGCGGGGTGAGGGATGCGTGGGGAAGGAGGGGACGGGGGATGTGGCACTGGGGACACGCGAGGACAGTGACGCGGGGACAGTGACGCTTCCGCTCCCCCGCAGCAGCAGAAGGCGGCGCTGCTGAAGAACAGCTCAGCCCTGCAGTCGGTGTCCCTGCGCAACAAGAGTGAGCGGGGGAGCTCCCCTTCCCTCCCCTCCCTTCCCTTCCCTTCCCTCCCCTCCCTTCCCTTCCCTTCCCTTCCCTTCCCTTCCCTTCCCTCCCCTCCCCAGTGTCCCTGCCCAGCCTGGGGGGTGCCGGGGGGTCCCAGCACCGACCCCCACTGTCCCCCCCCCCCAGATGCCATCCGGGAGCGCCCCAATTCCGCCATCTACCCCTCGGAGAGCTTCCGGCAGACGCTGCTGGGGCCCCGCCGCGGCCGCCCCTCCTTGTCCCTCTCCAAGAGCGTCTCCACCACCAACATCTCGGGGTAAGGGCAGGAAAGGAGGGCGGCAGGGGGGTCCGGGGGTGTCCCCGGCGTCCCCATCACGTCCCACCGCCTCCCCCAGGACGTTCAACGACGACTCTCCCCTGGGAATCCGGCGGATCCTGTCCCAGTCCACGGATTCCCTCAACATGCGCAACCGCACGCTCTCGGTGGAGTCGCTGATCGACGAAGGTGGGGACGCGGCTGGGGACGGGGGGGACGTGGTGGGGGGACACACGCGGGGACCCCACGTCCCGCTAACGTCACCCGCAGGCCCCGACGTCATCCTGAGCCAGCTGCTGAGCGATCTGGAGGCGGATGGGAAGGAGTTCGAGGCGGATTCCTGGAGCCTGGCGGTGGATAACAGCTTCCTGCAGCAGCACCGCATGGACGTCATGAAACGGCAGGACGTCATCTACGGTGAGGGGACAGGGACAGGGGCACGGGGCACGGGGACAGGGACATGGGACATGGGGACAGGGGAACAGGGGACATGGGACATGGGGACATGGGGACATAGGGACAGGGGACATGGGGACAGGGGACACGGGACATGGGGACAGGGGACATAGGGACAGGGGACATGGGGACAGGGGACACAGGGACAGGGGGACAGAAGACATGGGGACACAGGGAGTGGGGACAGGGGACACAGGAAGAGGTTGGAGAAGCAGGAATGGGGGCAAAGGGACAGGACGGAGGGTGCAGGGACAGGGAGGCAGTCATGAGGACACAGGGCCAGGCTGGGTGGCTGTCCCTGGGGTCCTGCTCCCTCTGTGCTGTTGTCGGGGTGCTGTCCCTGTCCCTTGGGGTGGTGTGTCTGGGGGTGCTGTCCCTGTCCCCATGGTGTGTCCCTGCCCTGTGGTGTGTCCCTGGGGGTATGTCCCTGTCCCTGGGGATGTGTCCCTGCCCCATGGTGTGTCCCCATGGCGTGTCCCTGTCCCTGCCCTGTGGCGTGTCCCCATCCCCGTGGCACGTCCCTAGGGGTATGTCCCTGTCCCGTGGCGTGTCCCTCTCCCCGTGGCGTGTCCCTGTCCTGTGGAGTGTCCCTGGGGGTATGTCCCTGTCCCCGTGGTGTGTCCCTCTCCCCATGGCATGTCCCTGTCCCTGTGGCATGTCCCTGTCCCCGTGGCATGTCCCTGGGGGTATGTCCCTGCCCCTGGGGATGTGTCCTTGTCCCCGTGGTGTGTCCCTGTCCCTGTCCCTGTCCCCGTCCCCGTCCCCGTCCCCGCGGCGTGTCCCCGCGCCGTGCTGACGGCGCCATGCCCCCGTGCAGAGCTGATGCAGACGGAGCTGCACCACGTGCGGACGCTGAAGATCATGGGCGCCCTGTTCCGCAGGGCGATGCTGGAGGAGCTGCAGCTGGACCCCGGCACCGTGCAGCGCATCTTCCCCTGCCTCGACGAGCTCAGCCACATCCACGAGCGCTTCCTGGCCCAGCTCCTGGAGCGGCGCCGCGAGTCGCTGGCCCAGGACAGCAACAAGAACTTCGTCATCGACCGCCTCGGGGACATCCTCGTCACACAGGTGGGCAGCGCGGAATCGGGGGGTGGGCGTGTTCGTGAGGGTCCCGGGTGTTCGTTTGTGAGGGTCCCGGGTGTTTGTTTGTGAGGGTCCCGGGTGTTCGTGAGGGTCCCGGGGCGAGGGAAGAGGTGAGGATCTGGCTCCGAGTTCTTAGAAGGCTGATATGATATGATATGATATGATATAATATTATATGAAATTATATTAAATGAAATTATATTATATGAAACTATAGTATATGAAGCTATATGAAATTATATTCTATTCCGTTATATTCTATTCTATTATATTATATTCTATTATATTATATTATATGAAATTAGATGAAATTATATCATCATATCATATGATATGAAGTAATATCATATGAAATTATATTATATGAAAATATATTATAGGAAATTATATTATATTATATGGAATTATATTATATTTTATGGAATTATATCACATGAAATGATATTATATGAATTATACACTAGACCTATACAAACCTATAGAGGAAAGGATACATCAGAACCCTAGAAAAGAACGAACAATTAAACGCCGTGACTTCTCAGAGCCTCCACAAGCTGGCTTTGATTGGTCACTGCATAAAAACAATTCACGTGCTCAGTAAACAACTCCCCAAATCACATCCCGGAGCAGCAAAGCCGGGAGGAGCTGGAATTCCCAGCACAAAATCCTGGGCAGGGGAATTTTCCCAGGAAATATGACCAAGGGGGATGGGGATTTGGGGGAGATGGGGGGGATAGCGGGGGACCTGGGGGACAGGGGACGGCTTTGGGGTGGGGATGGCCGGGGGGGACACACTCAGTGATGTCCCCTCGCTGTCCATGATGTCCCCTCACTGTTCCTGATGTCCTCTTGCTGTCCCTGCTGTCCCCTCGCTGTCCCCTCACTGTCCCCGATGTCCCCTCGCTGTCCCTGATGTCTCGCTGTCCCCTCGCTGTCCATGATGTCCCCTGGCTGCCCTGCTGTTCCCCTCACTGTCCCCTCACTGTCCCCTCGCTGTCCCCTCCCTGTCCCCTCGCTGTCCCTGCTGTCTCGCTGTCCCCTTGCTTTCCCTGGTGTCCCTTCAAAATACACCTTCCCCTTTCTGCTGAGCTACATACACCTTCCCCGTGCTGGTGAGATAAATAAATGCACCTTCCCCGTGCTGGTGAGATAAATGCACCTTCCCCACGCTGCTGAGCCGCCCCCTCCTCACCCCGACCCCCGCGGGGGGCTCCGGGGCAGCGTTCCCCACTGCCAGCGCTCCCCCATCCTGCAGGACAAGCCGGCTGTCATCTCCCTGCAAAACCTGATCGTGAGGGACATCGCCAACCAGGAGAAGGGGATGTTCCTGATCAGCGCCGCGCCGCCCGAGATGTACGAGGTGCACGCGGCCTCCCGGGACGACCGCAACCACTGGATGAAGGTCATCCAGCAGGCTGTCAGCCTGTGAGTGTCCCCCCGGGCTTGGGGACACCTGGGGAGCCCCCCCGGGATGGCTGGGAATTGTTGGGGGGTCCGTGGTTACAGGGTGGGTGGTGGTGGGTGCTTGGGTGGAGGGGAAAAGGGTGGGTGTGGGGTGGTGGGTTGGGGGTTCCTGGCTCTGACCCCCCATCCCGGCCCTGCCAGCTGTCCAAGCCGCCAGGATTTCCCCCTGATTGAGACGGAGACTGAAGCGTCCTTGAGGAAGCTGAAAGGTGGGGGCTCGTCCCTGTGCATCCCCTCCTGTGCATCCCATCCTGTGCATGCCATCCTGTGCATCCCATCCAATCCCGGGAGGGGGGACAGGAGGGGGGACGGGAGGGGGTACCCCTGCCCCGACCCGTCCTGCTCCCGAATCCATTCCCTGTCCTCTTTGCCCCCCTTCGTTCCCTTCCCATTCCCCTCTCTCTCCTCATTGCCCCTGCTCCCTCTTGCCCTATTCCCCCTTTTTTCCCCCTTTTCCCCCTTGGGAACCGGGGGGAACCGGGGGGAACCAGGAATCGGGGGTACCGGGAACCAAGGGAACCGGGGGTACTGGGAACGGGGGGAACGGGAACCAGGAGCCAAGGGAACCAGGGGTACCGAGGGTACCGGGAACAGGGGGAACCAGGAGCACCGGGGGAACCGGGAATCGGGGGTACCGGGAGCACCGGGGGAACCGGGAATCGGGGGTACCGAGTGTACCGGGGGAGCCGGGAATCGGGGGAACCGGGGGTAATGGGAACGGGGGGGACGGGAACCTGGACCCAGGGGAACCAGGGGTACCGAGGGTACCGGGAATCGGGGATATCGGGAATCGGGGGTACCGGGGACTGCGGGGGAACCGGGGGTACTGGGAGCACTGGGGGAACTGGGAACCGGGGCTACCGGGAATCGGGAGTACCGGGAACCAGGGGAACTGGGAATCAGGGGAACCGGGAATCGGGAGTACCGGGAACCAGGGGTACCGAGGGAACCGGGAACCGGGAGCATCGGGAGTACTGGGAAATCCGGGAGCACCGGGGGAACCGGGAGCACCGGGGGTCGCTGTGAGTTGTGTCCCCCACGCGTGGGGGTCTCAGGGTCTCGGGTCTGATCCCCCCCCCGTTCCCACCCGGCAGCTGAGCCACGCCAGCGCCCCCGCCGTCCTCCCGTTCCACCCCCCCGCCTTCCCCGGCGCCCGGGACGAGCTGGAATTCCGGGCAACCGACCCCGAACGGCTGCGGGAGGGCGAGGACACCCTGGATGTGCTCCTGGAGGATGAGGGGGGCTTGGGGGGTCGCCACTCCCCCCCCGCCAGCCCCCGAGGTGGGTCCCTGTTTTGAGGGGAGGGGGGGCAGATCCCACCCTGGGATCCCGATTTTATTTTGGGGAGGGGTTAACCTGGAGCTCTCCCGCAGATTTCCTGAGGATGCAGGATATTCCCGAGGAGGTGGAGAACAGCCAGGAGCTGAAGGAGGGCGATGGGGACAGTTAGGGACCCCCGCAGCCCCCCCAGCACCCCACGATTCCCCCCCCCAGGACACGCCGGGGGCCGGATCCAGCCGTGGGGAGCGTTGGGAAAAGCGGGATGGGGACGCTGCTATTCCCACGGGGGAGGGGTCCAGTCGCCCCCTCCCCTACTCCAGCCCCGGGGGGACAGGGGTGACAGCGTGTCCCTCCTCCTCCCGCTGGGATTTATTTATTTATTTGGATGTTTTGGGGTGCGGGAGGCGGCCCCGGGGGGGGGAACCTCCCGCTCCTGGGTCAGCGGTGACAGTGACCCCCCCCCCCCGGGGGCGGGGGGCGGCCCCAGGGGGGGGGGGGGGGGGGGGGGGCCCCCC